TACCTTGTGGAGAAAGCTGCATTAATGCCAAGAGGGTGGATACTCCTTCTGTCAATCTTCACTGAATGTAAGCTTTCAGCTGGGGAATCTATAAAAGGTATGTCCTCTGTACTTTCAGAGAGTCATTCAGCACCCCTTATCTACTTGCTTCTGTTGGTATATTGTGGGGTAAGTTGGCACTCGGTTCTATTTTCTTTATTTAGTCTGTGGAGCTCAAAGGTTACTTGCAAGTAGGCTGACTGAATGCCATGGGTCAGCTGGATCTTGCACACCTTTACTCATAAATAAGACTATATAGGTTCAATTGGCTGGTTAAGAATATATATGATTGCAGTGCTGGAAAAGTACAATATTAACTTCTGTGGGACTTGATGATGATTAACTTCTTTGGGTATTGAACACGGAAGATCAGAGGATGATTCAGCTCCGGTTCATGTAAAATATGCTACTTAGTCCTTGAATAAAACAGTTTCAAGGAATTTTGAAAATCCACATTTCTTACTAGCTTTGTGAATAACCTGGTGCTGCTTGAGAAGCAGAGTGGATGGATTAGAAATCCCCAGTGTGTGTGGTTTATTTAAATTGCAGGAAATGGATGCATGCACAGTTAGCATTCTTTCTTTTTCTAATGGTTGTGTGCATGGGTATATTGAGAAGGGTGTGAAAGAGGTTACCCATACGTAAAAATGGATTTGTGCATCAGGAAAAAACACAAGGGGTGATCAAACCAGCAATTGTATTGCAATATGTTTGTTTTGTTTGGTTATGTTCTTTCAATTGACCTGTGATCCAGCTGGGATCCCTTAAAAACAAGCCAACAAACAAACCCAAATCCCCTACTGCCTGAAACCAGAACCTGAAGCTGGGACCATAAGCTCCATGATTGAGCTAGTGGTCCTCCACCAGGTGCAGCGAAGTAATTTTAGGCCAGACTTCATGATCTTGCAGGGCCGTACCGTTTTTGATGGTCATGCATATCACTTCTAAATGTGGTAAGCCAGACCTCACTGCTTGTTGAGGACTTCCTGCTCATGTTGTCCAAAGGGAGCCTGGACCCGTGCCCTGAAGCCTTTCTCTGATGGTGCCATGAGTGCTCCTCCCTTGGCTCAGGTCACACAGGATCTCAGCTCTCTGAATTCTCAAGGAAATACAGCCTCACATGTTAGGGATAAAGGATGGAGACGGACATGTGGTGGCACATCGGTTGGCTTCATGCCATGAATATCAAATGGGTGAACCTCAGGATGGAATGATTCAACCTCCTCCCAGGATCCTAAGACACACTGTAGACATCAATCCATCCTCATGCATGTCTTTGAGAACCATCATTTTCAATCTTGGTTGCCTTTCAGGTTTTCCCAAAAGCTGCAAGAATGTCGCAGCAGCAGCAGCAACAGTGCAAACAGCCCCCATCCTGCCCGCCAACATCCTGTGTCCCTTCTCCAGGGTGCCCCAAGCCATGTCCGCCTTCCTCGTGCCAGGAGTCATACGAACCCGAGTGCCCAGGTCCAATTGGAAAGCCATGCCATGGGTCAACTGGAAGTTCCGGACAATGCACATCAGGCAAAGATCATGGGCACCAGGACACCAAACAGCAACCAAAGCAATGCTAAGCAGCCCTTTGCAGGGCCAACTATCCCACGATTAAATGTATTAATAAATGTATCTTGGTTAATTTCGTACCTCTATGGCCTCTTTCTCTTTCATTCATTCATTCTTTGCTCTAACCACAAGATAGATACTTTAAGCCGGTTCAATAAGCAGGTTTCAAAGGCCCATTTGATGGGCCCCTTGGGAGGGAATTCTACAGGCATGGGGCCACCAGCACAAGGTGCTGTCTCATGGACCTGCTCTGATCTTACAGGTGAGCAAGGCATGTAAAGTCAGGCTCAGAGCATGGGTGGTTTTATGTGGGCTGGGAAAGCCCTTCAGATAAGCTGTCTCTGAACCCTTTGGGGCTTTAACATTCAAGGCCAGCACCTTTTAAGTGGTCCCGAAATGCACTGGCAACCAGTGCAACACCTTGAATATGAACGCTACATGTTCAATCACCCTTCTAGTGGTGCAAAACCTCTCCCACCACCAAGAGAATCTCTTTTGTTCTCTCAGATCATTTCCAGTCCTTCTCTCTCCCTGGTAATAATGTAAATAATTACTAGGGGAAGAAGGTGTACATTTCAAGAACTCAGATGCAATTGATGTACCTGATGGAATATTAGACTGGATGGAACATCAGTCTGATCCAGCGTGGCTCTTGTCAGATTCTTATTGGGAAAATTAAGCATGAATATGCATGAAAATGTCCAGTCCCCCAACCACAAAGTTCACAACCTGATATGGACTTCAGTCAGAAGGAGTGTTGACCAAAAATTCAGAAAATGCCCAGGACCTCACATTTCCCTGATCCTGACTGGTAAATAGCTGCTGGTTCTTGGAAAAGAAAGGGAGATGCAATCACAGGAACACAGGATCACAGGTTCACACATTCACAGAATCACAGAAGAGTGTAGTTGGAAGGTGTCAGAGGGCCATTGGGTCCATCCCCCAGCTCAGTGCAAGACTCACAGTAAACCATCCTTCTCAGATGGCTGCCCCGTTTCAGTGGCTGAGCAGGTTTGGGCAGCCAAGACTTGGGATGTAGAAATTGGTTTGCTTCTGGTTTGTGTCACTTTTCTGTGTGTTCACTTATCAGATCAACCCCAAGACCTTTTACAGTGTGAGGTTAGGGGCAAAACGGTGCTTCTGATTCCAGCTAAGAAGCTGATCAGTTTGCCAGTCCAATCTGATGGTGCTCTCTTCAGCACAGGTGAGGGCCAGCATCCTCAGCATCTTCCCCTCTCTAGGGCACAACACTTTCGAAGGCTCCCAGCCTCACTGAGTTACACTTCTCACAGCCATGGTTCTCCCCCCTCTGCTCATTCATGACTGTCGCTTGCTGGTTCAGTGCTCAAAGAGCCAGGAAGCAAAGTTATCCATGCCTTGGGATGCACAGATCAATGGACTCCTGCTCTTCTGTGCTTGCCAGACATACTTCCTGTACTCATCCCCGTCCAGGAGACGAGCTGAACTGAGATCAAGTCCACAAATGCTCAGGAATGGAGTGGACCCCTTCTTTGAGCAAAGGATGTGGAGTATGCGATTTTTTGCACAAAGGATGCACAGCCCGCAGGTCATGTGTGAAAGCAGAACTCGCCTGAACAAGCTGGCCTTGCTTGGACCTGCTTCCTGCCAACGAGGCAAGCTTAGGGTGGCTGGAGTCCAGGGAGCTGAGTCAGGAAAACTCAGGCGAGTCGTACTCCTTAACTGGGTTCCTCGCAAATCACCGGACATGGCATCTCCTCCTCCTCTTCATCCTCTCCATTATTGTTGTCTATGCCAAAGTGGAGCAGGTGAAAAGTGACTTGGAGTACAGAAGAGGAGGAGCAGCTGAGAAGAGTGCTCTTCTCAGAAGGTCCCAGATGGCAAGTGCCCATCTATGCCTTCCCTTAATGACAGCCCTGTATGTCATGGAGCATTCTTGGGCAGCTTCTTAAATAGATTTAGAAGGGTGAACCAGCAGGGTGGAGCAAGGCTTGGGTGCTCAGCATGTTTCCACTGAGGTCTTATTTTGACACCTTGACAGCCAATGTGCTGCCCTTGACAACCTCTCCATGCTCACCATCTGTTGCCAGAGGAGACTACCTCACTCTGTCTAATGTAGGGCCAGCCCTGTTCCCTATAAAACTGTTTCCACATTCCTCTAGTTCTGCAAGCTCTCTGGAATACATATCCATCACATCTACAGCCATCTCTTTACATATATCTTCCCAAAAATGCATTTCTGAATGTACCAGATTTTAGATGATGAAGATGATGGCTGAGAACTGGACCAGAAGATTTGGAACGGGGATAGCCAGTGGGCAACTGCACCCCAGTTCACAACTCAGGGCTAGACTTGTCATACAGGCTGGTTTCTAGTGGAATTCACAAGGATTTGGTTTTCTAGAGTCCCTCTGGAAGACCTTCCAAAGACACCTATAGTGTAAGTTGTCCATCCACATTATTAGTTTTATTTACTATGGGTAATTTTTTCTCTGCCCCCCATTTCATCATATTTTTGGGACACCCCCCATTTCCCAAGAAACTTTTCCCAAATCAACTGTGTATGGTTTTATCTTTTATTTCTAAAGTTCAGAGTCATGCAAAAGATAATTTAAATCCCAGAAACATTTACAGATGGATTAATCAGAAAAACAGGATGGTGGACACCGAATCAGCCTTTATCTTGCACCACACTTTCCCCATGAAGCAAATAAATGTCTCTTAGGTAACAATGGCATGGAAGTCACCCAATGAAATCAGGCTGGTTTATGCAATTATCTTAATTAAATTCACAGTAAAAACAACTAAGGATTCTTTGGAAACAAATTCCTGTTGCAGCTCGACAAGCCTCTCTGGATTGGAATTTCATCAGACCTCTTCATGCTTCTCTTCTTAATGTTCTGTGGATGCTTTTCCAACAGAAGGTGGATTCTGCTTTACGAGGAATTCGGGGATTACTCAGCTTCCTGATGGTGCCCACTCTTACAACATGCCCACCTGAGAAGCTTTGGGCCTGGCTTCACATTTCAGTCCATTGAAGAGCAAAGCTTGGAAGCCATGGAGAGAACCTCGCAGGACCCCCGTTCCTTTGCTATGGTATGCCGTTCTGCTTAACAAGTTGTTGGACCAATAACATAAACATTCTTATAGAATAAATATCTTGTTACAGAAGAGAAGACAGAAATGAAAGAGTGCATTTCATAATTATGAAAACTAGTTCAACAACCTAACTTCAATATACTTTCTCTAGAAGAAACTAAAAAACTCATTGATGGTAATTATATGATGGACTAAAATTAAGGCAACAGTTCCTGGATTGCTAGTAGAAGTGCTTTGGTTTTAAAGCATTTTCATGGATGAAAGGATGAGGTATCTTTGAAGTAGCCAGCTGCAAGCTCGACTCGCTTGTCTCTGCTTGCTCACTTGCTCTGGGGGGGCCACTGGCACGGCTGCTTCCTCTGCTGCTGATCCATGGGTGGTGGGCATTTTACAGCAGGAGGTGAGCATGGCACTGGAGTTGGCTCCTTGCATGGACTCTTTGGGCACGGCACTGGGACAACCACCACTGGTGGCTCCTTGCATGGAGGCTTCTTTTCAGGACAGGGTGTTGGCTCCGGGCATGGAGCTGGAATGACCACCACTGGTGGCTCCTTGCATGGAGACTTCTCCTGAGGACATGGAATCGGTTCTGGGCTTGGAAATGGAACAACCACGACTGGTGGCTCCTTGCAGGGTTGCTTCTGCTGGGGGCAAGGAATGGGCTCCTGTGGTGGGCATGGAGTTGGAACAACCACGACTGGTGGCTCCTTGCAGGGTTGCTTCTGCTGGGGGCAAGGAACTGTCTTCTGTGGTGAGCATGGAGTTGGAACAATCACCACTGGTGGCTCCTTGCATGGAGGCTTCTTTTCAGGACAGGGTGTTGGCTCCGGGCATGGAGCTGGAATGACCACGACTGGTGGCTCCTTGCAGGGTTGCTTCTGCTGGGGGCAAGGAACAGGCTCCTGTGGTGGGCATGGAGCTGGAATGACCACCACTGGTGGCTCTTTGCATGGAGGCTTCTCCTGAGGACATGGAACTGGTTCTGGGCATGGAGCTGGCACAACCACCACCTGTGGCTCCTTGCAGGGCGGCTCCACTACTGGTGGGCATATCACTGGAGGAACAGTGATGGTCTGCTTGCATTGGTGCTGCTCCACAGGGCAATCTGGTATCGTCACCACCGGTGGGCAGGGTATCGGTTCCGGCAATGGCACTGTTTTGCCCAGTGCGGGGGGCAAGGTTGGTGCTTGCTTGCACTGGTGCTGGTTATTGAACGAAGCCATCCTGACCAAAGTTCCAAAAAGCCTGCAAGCAAAATGAAAATGTTTCATGCCCAATTCAAAGTCACCATCACACCTCCCATTTCCCCTGTTTGGACTTGGCTCTCCATTCATAAAAATTGCGGGAACAAGAGGCCATTCTGATTTTTGAGAATAACATCTCAACAGAAAAAGTCAATATCTTAACAAATAAAAGGTGATACATTTAATTGTCTCCTGTCAGGCTGATAATAACTGAGCTACCAACATTGTTACTACTGCCTGGTACCACAGCAATTGTGAGTAGAAGTAGCAGCCCTCTGTCTTAGCAGCCCCACCATAACAACAGCTCCTATTATGGCCATCCATGATTGCTATCAGCTAAAACAGATTGACCCCCGAAATTACAAGCCACAGCCCTTCCTACAACAGTTTAGGCTACATCTCCCTGTAACACAATCACACCCTTTCTTAGTATTAGCTGAAATGGACTTACCCAGCTGGTCACAGAGATGGTGCTTGAAGGGATGGCACATGCTTTTTAAGTAGTCTCCAAGTTCCACCCCTGCTGGATGACTCCAGCCTTTCACAACTGCGTATTATTCATGTGTTCCTCCATTGTCTCTGGAGGGGAACTCCCTTCTTGGACTCAGCATTCGCAATGGGCAATTTATTCCAACCCTCCCATCAATTGATTGACATATGCAGCTATGTTCTAAAAACAGAAGCCTTAACAAATACAGGAATGTTTGTTCTAGGGGTGAGAGCTGGCTGGATTGGCACTTGACCCATTACGCGACAGATCAGGAACCCAGAAGAAGGTGGGACTGCAAGTGAGGGATGGGCTGCTGTGTGGGAACTGTGTGGTGAAGCCCGTCTTTGCTCTTGGGAGCTCCCGAGAGCCAAGAACATAATTTTGGCTGAACCAGCAGAGGACCCCAAGAGAAAGACACAGTGCAGGGCGGGTGGGAATAAGAGAAGCAGCTGGGAGTTGGTTCCAGTGGATGGGATAAGGCCTCTGCGGATGTTCTCCTCACCCTGTTAGATGGGATCCTCAGCCCCTTCAGGTCACTATATATCAAGGTCCCTTTCCCAACCTCTTCTACATGGCTGCATGGCTGAGCTGTTGCTTGTAAACACCATGTTATGGGCAGCCAAGACCAAGACCCTAAACTCTGCAGCCTGGAGGATGAATGAAAAGGGTTGGAGCTGAATCCTCTTGGTAGGGGTTGCCTGCTGGGTCAAAAGGTTTTCTAAAAATCTGGGTCCACAACTTGAAGCCACTGATTTCAGTTATGTACTTTCATAGTTTTCGGTTGCTGAACTGTCTTAGCAGTAGCAAGATATGTGACTACTAAGAATAACATGAGGTATGTTCCCCCATACTTTCAGTTGTAATATATCACGCTTCCTTGCATCATGGACTGTATCTCTGCTCCTTTCTGAATGGTATTTGCCACCCCTTCACGCCTCTAAACTATTTTTTCTGGAGTTGCCTATTCTGGGAAGTTAGAAGTGCTTAACAGTGAATATCATGCCCTCTTCCTCAGTGTAAAGCCCACATCCAGCATTTTTAGTGTGTAAACAAATAATTTAAAATGGGAAAGAGTATTTTTAAGGAACAGAGTGCTCTGAAGGTCAATTGCAGCTTGTTTGACCCCCCCCCCCCGGCCCCATAATGCTGTGGATGCTATTTTCCCTGCCCCCCACCAAATCAATACATGCATCATCAGGTCATGCAATCCATGGAGAAAAAACTCAGGGTGCAGAAAATGTTCCCCAGACATCCCAAAGTTGCTCAACCCAGGTGTCAGTAATTCCTTGAGGCTTTCTTGTGCAAATTCCCCATTTTGGCATATTTAGTGGGAAGCCATCAAGACACAGGTAAGCGATTTCCACACCATATAGAAATTAGTTGTATTAGTTGGATCCTGCAATTTGGTACAAAGCAAGACAATCAACTCAAACCCTTCATCCCTAAATGAGATGGTTTGTTCATAACTCGTTGCAGATTTCTCTCTAGCAAAAAAGAAAAAGGAAAAAAAAAACAAGTGAAAACTGACTGATTGCATGACTTGTTCTGTCTTGCTTCAGGGAGCAGGGCTTGGACTGATGGGTGGAAATAGCAAGAAAGAAGATGTCAGCAAAATAGTAGGACAACCCCCAAATGGAAGAAGAAGCCATCTCGGGGTGTGGTGGGTTCCCTTTCACTGGAGAACTTTACTCAAGCAATGCTTGGATGGACGTCTTTCAGAGATGTTGTAGGTACATTAAGCAGAAGAGTTAGACAAGAACAACCTTCCCCAACCTTGTACCTTCCAGACATGTTTGAACTGCAACACCCAGGATTCCCAGTCAATGGCCTTGCTGGATGTGAACTCTGGGAGTTGTGATCCAAATGCCTCTGAAGGCCACCAGGTTGGGAAAGGCTGGGCCAGATGGCTTCCGAGTTCTCTTCCACCACAATGGTAATATGAGAAATCTTTGGAAGCACATCAAATTTGCAGGACTTCAGCTAAGGGGTGTCCTATACCTTCTGGGGTTTCTGGAGTGGAGGACAGGAGATCCAGTGCCAAACGTTTTCATGCTAGGCTTAATTCCAAACTTTAAAGTGTTACCCATGGTGCTTAGCCCTGGCCTTAAAATGGATTTGGCACCACAGATGGTTTCTTTAACATTCAGATGGAAAGTTGGGGTTGATACACTGCTCTACCAACATTCAAGCCACCAGCATCTGCTGGGCTTCTGGGCCCTATGGGGAGATGGACATTCACCCTACCCACTGCAAGCCAGTTGTTGCTCTTTGGACTCAGGAACAGATGCTGTACTACCATCTAGCCCCAGGGCTTCAAACGGTTCAGGCTTGACCAGCTTTCAGGCATAGACATGCCCTCCTGAGGAATTATGGGATGAAGAGTAACGGAATACTCCTGAGAAAGAGCAGTCCACTCTCCAGGTGCAACAGTTGATCTGCTATGGGTGGGGGCTCCTGAAGGCACAGGCTGAAACCGGGCACAGAATTCAGAAATGCTTGCAGACCACCATCTCCATAGTGCCTGCCTTGCATTTCCCTGATAACCAACTGAGCCTTTCTCGAGAACTCCCTGAAAGTCTTGGACTTGACCACAAGCAAAGATTTCCAGCTCCTGTAACAGCACACCTTGTAGGTTGGAGTTGGAGCCTGAATCTATAGTAATGTGGAGTTAGATTGGGAGGCCAGCTCATGGGGCTCAGCAGTCAATTAACCCCTAAACCTTCATTTGTCTCCAACTGGCAGACCTCAAGGGGTTGCTTTCAAGCAAGCCAATGAGCAAATCAGGTTGTCCCCTGCCCCGAGAAAAGCCTCCTTCGGCATTTGATGCATGTTGACACATTCCATCCAGGGGAATCCTTGTGTTGCTACACAAAGTTAGCTTTCCAGGATCATGCCCAAATGTTGCCATGTGAGTGATTAATCATGGGCTGGAATGTAGCTCAGTGCCGTGCCATTCAGTCTCAGGTGAAGTTGCCCACCCCGTCTGAGAGTGCCAACTTCCGAGGCAGCCCGTTTCACCATTCAGCATGTCATCCTTTCAGGAATTTCTTTCGAAGGTTCCATCAAAATGCCTTCCGTTGTAGTTGGATCCTGTTGGTTTCAGTCCACCAAAGCATTTGACACCTTTTCGATGGCTATAACATCATGTCTTAACCATCTCTTCTCTTGGCTTCGTGTGGCTCATCCTTTAAGCCACTCTGAGTCAAACAGATCTGAAATCGATCATTCTCTTGCAATGTTTTTTCTGAAGGTGGCACACTCGGCTCCCCACCAATTTCCGTTCCCATTGCAATTTTTTTATTGCTTTCCCCTCCCAGCCCTTAATCTCTCTCCTTTTGTACCTTGTATCCTCTACTTTGCTCGGAAGGAGCATCACATGTGCCAAGCACTGAGCACAAGGAGCAGCAACGGCTCGTGGCAGCAGTACACCAGGAATGTCTTGAATAGCAGGGAGAATGTAATTGCCTGCCATCCCGCTCAGACCTTCCTCTGTGCTCTGCTGCATCCTCACCATAGCTGGGTGGAAAATGTTTTTTTTAGGGACAAGATATCCCTGTTGCTGTGCAAGGTATTTTGCTTGGTCTTGAACAGGCAGTTCAGATCCGTTCTCTTTAAAAAAATACCTGTGAAAGACGTACAAAACACGTGCACACATATTGCTATGGATCAACCCAGCTGCCGTCTTTAGTGGAATTCCTTGGGGTGTATCTCTGAGTCTGTTACACTGAGTGCTTGGGTTTCAAAATGTACCTTCTGCTATGGCTTAGTAGTTGGAAAAGAAATATGTCCCACTGATTTGTCCCTTCAACATGTCCCACTTCCACAAACCCTTCAAGAAGTATTCCTGCAGGGTCAGCAACACCACCTCCATGGGCAAAGGGTCACATGGAACAAGAAGTCGGTGCTTCGAGATACCTGACGGCATTGATTAGACAGAGAAATTGGACATTCATATGGAAAGTTCTGCTGTTAATTGCTGGTCAGGATATGCTCTTTGCCCATGTAAACTGCCAGACAAGATGCACTAGGCAAATTAGAGGAAGAGCTTGGGCATTGGTTGCCAACTGGCAACAGACTTCCTCCATCCAAGCTCCTTGCTGAATGGAAATGGGCAGGATTGAGTTGATCCCAATTAGGTTGGATCTGGGCTGGATCTGATGACACTTTCTCCAGTTTGTTCAGCCTGCACTGCAGGAAGAAGCCACATTTGCCCTGGTCTACCTGGTGCTCATGTCCCAACTTGGACAGCACAGGGGGTGCATACAGCATCCTTAATGTATTTATTTATTTAGGATATTTCTAGTGTAGTGCTTAGGATAAATGTAGTGCTTTCTATGTAGATTTGCCCTCGAGGAGGGTTCAGAAGATGCATTTCCTGCAGGATGCTGAAGCAAGGCTGTTGAATGGAGCATCTTGGCCCATATTATTGACGTGTGACAGCCAAACAGCATAGGACCACGTTGCCTGGAAGATTGTACCCCCACACCAT